CTAGACAATATTCTAATTAACAACCCTATTTAATATTTATAAGTGTTCAAAGCAAATCTATTTGTTGAGCTGTGGATGCAGAAACGAATATTTTCATGCGTTTCTTGCCCTTGTAGAGCATATTTATACTATAAATAGATCATCGCATGATTCAATTGTCTGGAATAGTGCATTTGTTCTTTTCATCGATTACTAAATTATTGATTTCTTGGCCTGTAGTATTGAGAATAGAATTAGAATTTCTTTGCAAAATACATCGAATTTTTCCTACAATCAACCAATCATAAGGTAGGTTTAAATTTCGTCTAATTATCTTTAACTACCATCGAGAACGTTTTTTATGATATCTATTCAAGAGATTTGCTTTGATCTTAATAATGCCCGATAGAATACTCTTCCAAATTGTTAGTTTTTTTTGTGTTACTACTAGTATTAATAATCTTTATGTTCGTCCGCACTTTTTTCTTTTTTTTTTTTTTTTACAGAGAACCGTTTTTATTGACGTCCACTTGATTAATGCAGTCGTATATCAGCTATATGGCGAAATTTTCTTAACACGTGCTTCTTTTTTTAAGTAAACCATTCAAACAATAATAAAAAAAAATTAGATAAATTTGATTTATGCATTTTTGTTCATGAGAAATTTTGTCTTAACTTTATCATAGAAAAGACGTGACTTAACTAACAATCATCGGCTAGAGATATACAAATTTGCAGCATTTTTTTCTAATTTTCTTTTGCGACTTATATTAATTCAAAAACAGAGCCGAATAAAGAGATTCTAAAAAGAAAAAAAAAAGAAATTCATATTGTCAATTAGTTTATTACCAAGAAAATATTCTGATGACCTATGTTCATCACTTTGTTTGCTATACATTAACCATGGCTAATTTTATCATAATGTCACTTTAGTGCAAAGAATTATTGAGTAGTAACGTTGTTTTTCTCTCTGTTTTTCTTTTAATCGCAATGTAAATGACGTATTTTTAATAATTCCGCTGTGATATCACATTGCGAATTTTGTTTGTGCAATTTTATATCTTTGAAATATGTAACTATATTAATTCTCAAATACACATTTCCATAGATGATATACAAAGAAAAGAACTTAATTCATTTATTAGTGTTTGGATTTTTATTAAGTTTCTTTTGATTAAGACGGTATGAATAAATAAAAAATGTTAAGACTTCTTTTGACATTAATATTTACTTGTATGACAAAGAGAAAACAATAACTAAAGAAAATATTTTTTTTTCTGTATTATTCATGATATTGTTGATATGTTTCTACTTGATTTATTCAAATTAGACAATTTAGCAAAAAGTTTCAAATGAATCATATCGTGAATATGATTAAATTCAAGTTGCTTTAGAAACATTAATTACTGACGAGGCTGTCTTTTTTTTATTTTGTATTTTTATTATGATTATCTATATCAGCAGGTGTATCCCAAACGGGAATCACTTCTCTTCCTCCCATCGTGAGAAATTTTCGTTGTTCATCAGCGAAGTTTCAGCGTTTTATTCGTTGTTTTGTTCATCGATTTTCAAAAAAGCGCTCGACCTTCTGCTACCAAAATCTAGTTACTTTTAACAAAAATCTTCCAACCGATCTCAGGACACCTCTGTATACTAGTAAAAAGAAAGCCTTCAGATCGGAACTTTGGTCTTGTTTTAATGAATTGAATCGACATGGCATCACATTTATATAAAAAAAACATCTTGACAATAGAATAAATACAACCATAAACATAAGTTTAATGAAAAGATTGTTTTTTTCTTCTGGCATTTTTGTTAACTGCCAGATCCTTGCAATTCAATATATCTCGTGCAAACAATTCAAATACGATAAATCATTCATGAGAAATTCCCTTGAACATATAAAGAATTTATTTCCTTGTCGCTGTATTGTTATTATTTTTTTTTGCTAAGAAAAAAATCAAAAGAGTTTACTCAGTCTTTTATTAAAAAAAAAAACATAAAAAACTGTTAGTCAGTCATATGTATTTAACTTCCTGCTGTGCATTCAGTTTTGATAGTCAAATAAAGTTTCACGCTGATTTTTTTCTATGTATGCATACACTGCTATTTTGAGCGCTCCTCATTTTCAAAAAGAACACTACTGTTAAGTTCTATTGAAGCCATGCATATTTTTTAATAATTACATGCAAAACAAACTTTTATCATAGAAATATAAATCTTGATTATCCATGAGAATAGAATGAATTTTTCTTTCAACATTCTCAACAATAAACAAACAAATGTATGGAACTGTGCCGTTGAAAAAATAATTTTACGTTTAATTTGTATGATTTCTAGTAACTTATCCTTTCATCAATATAATTGTCTAGAAATAGCAAGAAAACAAACATAAATTAACAATATATATAAACACCTAGATCTTCAGTAAAACTATCTACAATTTCATTTTTAATATATCTGATAGAGTGAACTAGTCTCTATTAGTTAATTTTCATTGTTATAATAAGAATAAAAATACGTTAAAGAGCATGACATTGACTCAGGCATATATTAGCAGCTGTCTAAAAAAATGCAACGAACACTTTTTGAGTTCTATTTCTTAATATTTTTTCTATATAACAAATATATTTTTGTGAAAATAGTTTATTTTTAGAAAAAAAGAGGAAATGCGTGATTAACAGATAGAATTAGACAAAATCATTCATTTCTAATTTTCTTATGGTATCACTAAGTTATTGCACAGTTTGAAAATTATTATGTTTTATGTACTTTGCATGAAAAATTGTAATGGGAAAAGGCATTTTATATTTGTAGCGTGCTGTTTGTTTTTTTTGTCTTTGCTCAAAATTGATTATGATGCATTAAGATTTATATATATATGTGCGGCTGATATGGATTGTAAAGTTAATTGATCATGAAATTGAACTTTGTTGTTTATTATTTTCTTCCAGTACTATATAATTTTTTTTTATTTGATAATAAAAAGAATAGGCTAGTTGCAAGTAGTCCTTTTTAACAATCATTATTTCACAACTTTGTTTTTTCTAATAAGTACTTTTTGTTTAATGACCTTTTGCTTGTTTTGAAAGATGATGACAATTTTTATAGAAATAACAGAAGTAGAAAGGAAAAAAAAATTTAGCTAAAAATATCTTTAAGTTTATAGTTGCTGTTCGACGACCGGAAGAAACATCGAGAAAGACGGCACAAAAGAGAAGAGAGCGAGAGAGAAAGAGAAACAGAGACAGAGAGAAATTTTTTTACAGGTAAAAGCAGAAGAAAAGACGATTCTCTCACATCATTCATCTTGTGTTTATATGCATATGTCTCATTAAGAAAATCTTTCTTTTCAATTCTAATTACATTGACTGAGAGCTTCTAAAAATAATTTATCATCAGCAATAGTGGTAACGAGGTTTTCTAAGTATTTATATTCATCTGTCATGCCGAATAGAAATGCGAAGGAAGTGGAATTAGGCGTGTTTTCTGTCTTGTATTTATATATATCTATATATATCTATATCTTTATTTGCGTTGGCATGATGATTATTTATAAAAATATTTTAGATGAAATAGAACAGCATAGTAAGTTCTGTGAGTAAATCCTTTGACTAACACACAGTTAAATATATCAAATAAGAAGTACAAAATTTAATCTATATTTGACTAGATTGTTTTTTTTCTTTTATTATCTTTTTCTTTCTATAGGTGTGATCAGTTCATCTAATCAAAAAATAGAAAATGAGGGAGTATTAAAAATAGAAAAGTTGTGTTTTTGCTGATATAATTAGGTTTTATAGAATATGTGAATGTCTATCATACACAATTTATAGATGAGCTGATATTCTAAAAATAGTTTAGTTGATGCATACATCTTTTTTTGTCTTTTCACATTTTTTTTCTGCTTCAGCTCGCTTATTTCTTTAGAAACAGGAAAAGATGGGAAGGAGAGACCTGAAAGAAAAGAAACAAAAAGATAAAAGACAATTTCATCTTAGCAACGTCTTTTATAAATAAAATAAGAGAATCAAGATAAAAGTCATAATAGTTAAGAAATTAACGACAAGAAAGTCAAGTTAAAAATAGTTCAAAGTAGTCCAACTATGCTGGTAAGAGATTTTGATAAAAAGATAAATCTGTAGAGCAGATAGAAATGAGACAAACATTGAGTGTTGTTTTTTTCAGTTTTATTTTCAATTCATAGTTTATTATTTGTAACTGTTTATATATTAGTATTTAAAAATCTCTATCTTTTACGTTATGGAAACTAAAATCTATACATTAATATCTATCAATAATAACACCTAACTTGTAATTGATAAAGATTATATATTAACTAATATTAAAAAAAAACAGAGAAAAAAGAGATAGATACAGTAGAAAAAAAAACACAGTATCAAATGAAAGACTAAAAAAAATTGACATGACAGTTTTGAACTTAGAAAAGAGCACACAACGGAAAAAAAACACCCAAGCATCATTCTTTTTTAGATTATATTAAAAAAAAAAAAATAGAAACACGGGTTGTCAAATTAAGTGTGTTGTATTCTTCCCATTCGACTTGGTTAATCCGGCGTTGTATTATAAAAAGAAAAATGGATAGAGGAAAAAAAAAGAAAAGGAAAAGTGATAAGAATAGATCTACTCAGTGTTTGTCTTTAACAGAGATTTTAATTTCCTTTTTGCTCATAAGAATTATAATTATTTATAATATGAGAACCAAGAAAAGAATATTCTCAGATGTCTTTCATATAGGTTACTTTTCTATCATTTTAAAAAAGAAATTAATAACCGTGATAAATTGATATCTATACTAAACTGTTTTAGAAACTTGATCGAGTTTGAGCAATCTGTTACATAGTCGATTCTTTTATGTCAATGAAAATGATCTGTATTCTTTGGTAACAGCCGGTTTTCTTTACATTGAAAAGAAAAATCCAGAATACGAACAATATTTTATTTATATTATTCTATTTGTGTATCACATTAAACCAACAAAACCAAATTTTATTCAAAATATGATTTCTAATAATATATTAATAAATAATACAATTAATAAAATCAATCATATCAATATAACAAAAAATAAATTATCATCGTCAGATTTATCTCCACATGTTGAAGAATCATTTGATTTAACATGGAATGATATTTTATATGATGGTGGATTAGGTACATGGTTACCACGATCATCTTTTCGTTGGTTAACAATATCAGTTTGTACAATAGGTATTATTGGTAAGTTTATTTATATTTGTCTTTTTGTTTTGTTTTTATTAATTAAATAATAATATAAATATTGATTTAAATCAGGTAATATATTAGCGGTTTGTACATTACTTCGTCGACGAATGCGTACTCTATCAACTTATGCTTATTTAACAGCATTATGTTTATCTAATAGCGTGACGTTATTATCAGTAATTATATTCGAATTAGAAATATTTTTTGCTCCAAATCGTTTCAACTGTATACTTGTTTCATTAGCAAAATCACTTGCATCAAGCACATTTGCTCTATCGACTTGGTAAATTTGATATTTTTTCAAAAAAATCAAAAACAAAATTCAACTTTTACTTTTCTGTTTTTAGGATTACAGTTGGTTTTACTGTTGATCGGTATATCATGATTTGTTTTCCATTTACCGGTGAAAAATTATGTACACGTCGTAATACTTTATTTGTATTAATTCTATGTCTTTCTTTGGCATTAGCATATTTAATGCCACAAATATTAGCAAATTCATGTCATGCTATGCCCAATGGAAATTCATATAATAAAACAAATGATCATGTAAATTTATCAATCGATCATAGTAACTATTATTATTCAAATAAAACTGAATCATTTTCAACTACATTTTGGGTATCGGGTTTAAGTGAAATAGGTAAATCATTAGCATATCGTTTAACAATAACATTATTTGTTAATTGTTTCCTTGTACGTATAATACCATTTCTTGTTGTACTTAAATTAAATTTACATCTTATACGTACACTTTCAACGACTAAACGACGTCATCGACAAATAAATCCTTATGAACAAAAACGTAATGATGTAACCCATATGCTTGTTGTTGTGATTTCGATTTATCTTGTTTGTATCATGCCGTCCATACCATTTGCTGCGTTTTTTGCTTATGATCCAGATAAATATGTTGATATATCATATCATTATCGAACATTTCAACATTTAGATGAATTTGGTAAATTTTTAATGATATTTAATTCTGCATCACAATGCTATTTATATATATTTTTTGGTAAACGATTTCGACGTGAATTAGCACGTCTCGTATGTTGTTTTTGTACAAAATATTTTTACATGCCCATACCACAAAATAATACAAATAGTGATCGTGATACATTTTTACAAGATTTTGGTAATAATGATACATATGAGCTTGTACTTAGTGGTAAATGGTCACTTGATCAACGACAAGATTCTCTAGCTGGAATAGAGTTTAGTTTTCATCATCCAAGACGATGGAGTCGTTTAACATCATCATCAGCAACAACAACACATTCGGATTCAGATTTTCGTGATAATCGATTGAATTTTGGTATATTAAAATCTTTTAAAACTCGTGTTGAACAATTATTTGTTCGTTTTAAATAATTTTATTGTATTTCATTATTTGTTTTTCGTTTTTCTCTATTTCAATTTCTCTTTTTATGTATGTGTAATCTTGCTTTCGTTCATTTATTTTCTTTTAAGACTGAAAAAAATAAGGATATGAAAAGAAAAAAAGGACAAATTGTATAATTTATTTTTCTTTATATCAATTAACAATGTGGCCCATTCATTCCTGGATGAAACGTTGTTCCGGTAATTTGATAACAACGAACAGATGGAGCGTGGAAATCCTCTTGAAAAATACGTTTAGTAATAGCGATGAAGACATAATTATCACACCAAACATGACCCCATACGGCTTCATAGGGAAGTTCAAGTAAAGAACATTGACCGGCTAAAAAATTTCCTGTTTCATATGAACGAGTACGGCCATCGGCAGTTCGTGAATTTAGACCACATTTAGCTACATATGCTCCTTGATTACAAATTCGAACAGAACCTTGATTAGAAGAAAGTACTCCTATAAATAAATCAAAAGAATTTGTATTTATACTTATGAAACTAATTAAATCATAAATCTACCAAAAATAAGAGCACTAAAAATAATCAATGAATATGAAATAACCGACGACATTAGACTCGTTGAATTGAAAAAATCAATAGCGAATGCCGAAATTTATTAGTCAAACAATATATCAATGCATACATCATCATGGGAACATTAGCATATGTAATATTAAATCCTCATCTTTCGATTATGGTTCGATGTCTATCATATTATAACAGATACGAATGTGTATATGTTAATATTTTGATTTTTATTTAAAAACAAAAAGAAAGATTATGAACTCAGATACACAGAAATAAGATTTTGTTTTACAAACAAAAAAGAAAAGCTGTAAATAGCAGTAAACATGAAAACCTGTGTTATATTATTCTTGTTAATTTGCCTAGAAAGGAAAATCAAGATATCTTTTCCGAAATAAGCTCAGATAAAAGAAAAAGAAATAAAGAGAAATAAAAAAAAAAAAAAGCATTATATAAAATTTGCTGTTATTCTTCATAATAGAAAAATATAAGTTAAAACAAACACAAAAAGCAATACTTGATAAAAATGAGAAAAAAAAAAGTCAACTAGAGATATCTTTTTATTTTGTTTTCAATGTTATATCTTATCATGATTAACATCGACAATAACTTTGATTATTAGGTTTTAATTCATCTTTTGAATCATTAGATGAAAGCGTTACATTATTTTCTAAAGAAAAAAAAAATAATAATTAAAATACAAATTTCTTAACAATATTACTCTTACTATATCCAGTTTCCGGGTCAGGTGTATCCATGCCAGGTAAAGCCGCAGCTACTCGACGGAATAACTTTAAAACAAAAAACGATCATATTCAAATTATATTGAGAAGAAATATACCTGTTTAACATTATAACCTGCTTTAGCACTTGTTTCAATAAACATAACATTTAAATCTTTTGCTCTTTCTTCACCATCTAGTGTTGATACTTGTCTTCTATCAGCCAAATCAGTTTTATTACCGACTAAAAATTAATAATTATATTTTGAAAAAAAAAATTATTTTTGTAATATTTACCAAGCATTATAATAACATCATTACCACGTTCTGCACGAACTTCTTCAATCCATCTTGATGTTTGTTGAAATGAATTTGAATCTAATGAATTTAAAAGTTATATTTTTCAATATCATATAAATATTCTTACTTGTTATATCATAAACAACCACAGCAACAGTAGAATCACGTATATAACTTGGAATAAGACTTCTAAAAAATAAAAACATCTTTGAAAATTAAACGAGACAGTATTTTATTTATTGCCTAAATCTTTCTTGTCCTGCGGTATCCCTATATTAACACAAAAGATTCAGATAGATTTATATATAGATAAATAAATCTCACCATAACTGTAAACGAACAGTTCGATCTTCTAAATACATTGTTTTAGAAAGAAAATCTATACCAATTGTAGCCTTAATATATTTTAAAAATAAAATAAAATAAATTTTCTACAAAAATAAAAACCCACCTGATATGTATTGTCAAAACTGTCATACATAAAACGAGTAATCAATGAAGTTTTTCCAACTAAAATATAAAAAAAAAACATAAAACTATCTGTTATCTCTTGTTTTGTTTAATTTCCTTACCACTTTGTTCACCTAAGAAAACAAGTTTAAATTTTCGAAGCGGATTCACAGCCTGTTCATATGACATTATACTTCAATATGTGTATGCGGTATCAGTTAATAAATCTGAAAGTAATCTTAAGAATCTTAAGCTATGTTTGAAAAAAAAAATGAATTTTCTCGCTATTCAAAATCAAATGGTTGTGGCAGAATAATAAAAAAAAAGGAGAAATTTATTCTAAACAAGTCCTTTTTCTTTAAGTTTACTAATAAGTTCATCAACACTTGATACTCGACCACCACCTTGTCGTTTAGGTGGTTCTTCATAGGATAAATATTCTTGATGAGGTTTAATATCAACGCCTAAATCACTCGGTGACATTTTTGCCATTGGTTTTTTCTTAGCTTTCTATAAAAGACAAAAAACAGAATTATTATTATTATTATTATTATTTATTATTATCAAAGTTTTACTTGTATAGATGGAAGATTAGCAAAACGTGGTTGATTAAGACGAAGATCAGTAGTAATAACAGCAGGTAGTTTTACACGTATTGTTTCTGAACCACCATCAATTTCACGCATGACTTCAGCGCTTTTATCTTTAATGTCAACTTTTGAAGCAAATAGAGCCTGAGAAAAAGAAAATCAATCAAGAAACAATTTTTTCTTTCTTTTGTTATGATTTACTTGTGGCCAAGAAAGAAGACCAGCAACCATTTGACCTGTTTGATTTGAATCATCATCAATCGCCTGAATAATTAAAATAAATTATTTATAATTGATAATACGAGTCAAAAAATAATCATAAAGGAAATTATTTTCGAGATTAAAAATAATTTGCAAATACTTTTTTTGAGATTATTTTTAGAATATGTTAACAATATTCAAATAACATAATTTTATGAAGAACATTTGTCTAGACAAATGAATTACATGAAGAAGGGTTTCTTTTATAAAATCTTACAAAAGCATCACTATTATTCACAAAAGAATCTTTCTAACGAATTACTGTCCGCATCGAACAACAATTCAAATGTAATGTGTTTCTTTGATAAGTATTCATATGTATATGAAAAATTTTATGTCATTCTCTAAGACTATGAATTAATAAGTATAACACATTTTAATGTTAGAAAATGTTTAATAACTAGAATTGAATGATAAAAATTAAACAAAATTACATGAAGCTTCGTTCCCTTTGAAAAAAAAGTTACTTTTCATTAAAAGCATGAAAAGATAGTCCAAGGTTTAATCTTTCATCAACGACATGATGTTTATTTGACACTTTGTTGTTTTCAAAAATTTTTGTTTTTATGTTTGCAAAACTGATTTTTTTTAATTATGTTGTTTTTCATCGTACATCGCAGCATTCTCCAAGGAGCTTCATTGTAGCCAATGGCTTTTTTTTTGTTTGAAAAGCCATGTCAAGATGCAGGGCATAATAGTACTCGTTTGTTTTTTTTTTTGAATAAATCATGTTAATTTTATGTAAAAGAATTCTACTATAATTAGAATGTCAACTTCTTGAGACGTTGAATACTTATCCTCTTAAAAAGTAAGAGTTTAAAAAAAAAAAGAGGCTCTGTCAAGCCATGTATTCTGACATGCTCTTTCAAACAGGAAAAAAAAGATTAAGTAAATAGAACGAAACGGAGGAGAAGAATCAAACTAGCATGTTACAGCGATGCTGCTGAAAAAAATGGATCTTTCGAGGAAATATGGAAAAAACTGAGTAGGAAAAGAAATCTTGGACCAAAGTGAAAAATGCAGCAAACAATCGAATCAGAAAGTTATCTTGGTTATAAAAGAAGTAATCAAATCTTTAAAAGGGAATTCCAGTTTCTCTAAAGAGAAAATCTAATTGCTCTAGATAACGAATAATTAATCTAACACATCAACACTGAATTATTAGTTTATTGTCTAAACGGTAATTATATATGCATCAATGAACTAGAAAAATTAAACACACTATGAAGAAAATATGATGACAGAAATATATATTTGAATCACATCAAAAGGAGAAGGTGTTTGGGAAATACATAAAAGTAAAGGAAAGGAAAGAAAATATAAGATATAACTAGGTCAAACTATAAGTTATTAAAGGAATATTTTAATTTCTCTCAAAGAAAAATCCCTTTGTTTTCGAATGGAAATTTTTCAATTTTCCCTATGTGTTGTAGAGAAGCTTTGACAGATTCTGCACCCCTGTCATGACGGCCCACAGAAAATTTCGATTTGCCACATGCGCTATCTTTAACCGTTGTTAGTTGAATATTTCGTGACAATATCGTTGTATATGACTGAAAATCTCATATGATTTGAATATACCTAGATCAAGATCGATATTTGACGACGAGAGAAGAACCTTAAATGTACATAATCATAATATGACTGAATGAAAAACCAATAAATGACATTCTTACTACAATGAATATCAATTAATCGTTTTGAAAAATGATAAGCTAGATTATTAAATTTGAAGTTAATTGTAATAATCATATAAAACAAGAAACATACGACACTTTTACAGATTGTTGATGACGATATTTTGTGATGGATTTCAGTCAGTTGACTATATTTTTCTCAAATTTTCAGACGTTTCTTGTTATGATTTGATTGAATAGAATGTTCACTGGTCTCTCAAACGTGATAGTTATTATTTTGTTTTTCTTCCGTTTTGTTTCAAGGCGTGATAAATTTTTGTGAATCAATAAAATAATGTTCTTTAACTTCGAAGATTATTCTCAACGGGATAGATTAATCTAACTTAAATATGCACAACACATCGAATAAATTCGCTTCGATTTTCTCAAGATAATTGAATATTTTAGTTCTTGATACTTACACAAAAAAATAAGTGTCTCGTACTTTTCTGCAAAAGTTTATTGCTAAGTAATGACGTTAATTAGATATATCGATAGAGAAATCAACATTCTACGAAATCATATATTTATAAAAGAAAAAAATGCAATATATGTATAACTAAAATGAATAATAATTAGCGAAAAAATCAAATTAAATATGATTCTAATACTTCTCAAAGTTAAAATCTTTGACAAATTACTTTTCAAAACTTATCAACAAAATAGAAAATAAAAAAGTGTTGCAAATATATACAAAATTAGAATAAAATCACATCATCAATATGGATATGATCAATGTACATATCAAACAAATTTATGTTTCTTAATAAAAAAAAAACTATCCACCATTCTTTAAATTTTTAAATCATTAACAATACCGATTGTTATACTGAAGTTACAAATTTATTTTCAATTAGAACTTATCAAACTAAGATAACGAAAATAATGTGGTACACCAATACTATCTGAAGCTAACAAGAGAAGTCCTTCAAGTCATCAATCACTTTTAAGATGAGACTATGTGCATTGTGTAGATGCCAATGAACTATGAATATATTAAAAATAGCTCGTGTGTTTAGATTATTACTACGGAGGCATTTCACTCTTATGGTATTGTTTTAAATAAATGTCGTAGTAATAGAAAAATTAATTTTCGAATTTCAACTTGACACTTTGCATAGAGATAGGCCTTAACGAGAGTAGTTAATTGTGAAGGTTTCAAATCTGTTGATTTTACCTCTATCTTGAAATAAGAGCATTCAATCTACCGGCTTACACGAGTATACTATTACTATAGTTGTATCTTAGAATGAAAGCAAATCAAAAGACCTAAAATAACTCTTGTAAAGGCCTATCCCTATACAAAATTTCCAGCTGCAATTCGAAAATAGACTTTTCTGTTATCATGAGCTATCGATTAGTAAAAAAGAACATTTCATCACACTATTTCGACGCCAAAAAATCGAATTCAACAAATTGATAGATTTTTCAAGTAGTAGAGATCTTTCTTATTTGTCGTATAAGAAGTCTACTAAAGATTAATATAAGTTTCTAAAGTTCCACGATAGTTTGAAGAGCAACAGATATACTAAGGCTCAAAATAGATCATATTACTACTATTGAATACTCAGAAGAAAATTATGAAAGCAGTAAATTTATCTATGGTAAAATTCATCACGTAGAATATTGAAAATAATGTTTAGTATGAACAAAATATTTTTCATTGTTGTATGAAGCTTCAAAGAAGAATAAGTGATAATTTGGCGCGATATCTCAAAAATACATGCAGTCTTTCAAATGAAAATTTTATGCATGTCCTTGTTCCATTTCTTTTTATTATTGCAATGTCCTAGAACATAAGCTGTTTTTGTCTATGCAAGAGTATGATGAAATAAAAAAAAAAAGAAAATCACAACATCGCGTGTCATTCAAACCTTCCGTTTCTATCGCATGATCACTGAGGTAACTAAATCCATCCTATATTAAGAACAGGAAATTTAATGCATCTGGTCACGCTTTTAGCATATTAGAAAAACTAATATTCTCTTCATAGGATTATTTTACATTGAAAAGTAACAAAAAAAAAAACAGAGTTCTCAATAACCATGCCTAGGTCGAAGAAAGTCGATACATGGATTTTTAGCCGTTGACCCGATCCGACTCATGTTCTTTTTTATCTTCAAAAATAGCTCATGAGCTATTCATCTAATTGCGTTGAATCGATTTTAAATACATGAATGAACAAGCATATTTCGAGTATCAGTAGTTGACGTATATGTAAATATTCGGTGTCATGTTTGACAACTTGCAAAATTTTCAATTCTCTCGAATTCACCAGTATTGGTCGAATGTTTTAGTTGGAAAGTCAAAAACTAATCAATATAAAGGTGTATGAGCTTTTCCATTTTTAATAATAGTCTATGAAGATGGTTGTTGTTTTAAAAAATATTTGATCTATCTTGTGTCTAATGATGAATTAGTACGGATAATTGAAGAAAAAGTGTTCACAAAAACTGATGATTGAGAAGAGTTAAGTAAGAACATAGGGGCGTTTACAACGCTTGGATTGGAAGATCAATCCCACTTTCTTCTCTCAAGAAAAATATTCACTCTCAATTTATCATGCTTGTACTGACAGTTATGTCAAAAATAATCACTGTGAAATGTTAGTTTGTGCTGACATTTTGTTTGTAATAATTAATATCAAATATATTCATGATATATATATAATCCCAAGTGTTCTTCTTCTACTTTATGATTTACATATAAACGTAATATTTTTTCAATAAAAATTTATCAAAAACAATGAATAAAAAACTGAAAGATAGTAGTACATATTTTATATCGAACAAGAGATCTAAGAATGATATAAATAAAAATATCTCACAACAATCAACAGCAGATTATTTAAATAATTCCAATAACAACAACAAGCTCGAAATAGATCATAATGAAGAAACTCTAGTTGCCTTTTTTTTTTCATTGTTTTGTTAATCAAAAGTTTACTAGTATTATTAAAGCATCTGTCAAAAATCATGATCTTAGATTATATGTTTCAAATCAATTAACTACGAAGGATTTTCTATTATTAAATTGACTGTTGACGGAACCATGGATTTCATTCCCAAAATTACATCTATCTAAAATTCGATCAATTTGCTAACACTCATGACTAACCAAATATACTTGACTGATATATTCAACAATGCATCTAGTAGTTTATTGTTGGTATTGTAATTTATTTTTAATGAAAGAAAAGAACCAATGTCTTAGTTAATTTGCTAATTGACTATTAAAAGACGCTATGAATTATTTAACGATTCATAATAAATAAAAATCTTATAAAGACTTCATTATTCTTATAAATATTCTTTCTGCCGTTCTGTACAGACTAATTTACAGTCGAAAAACCAATTGATCATGCCTATAAGGACATTTCTTCTGAAATATTCTTTTTTCAAGGTTTGGCCCATCGCAATATCAAGTCAGCCTATGATTTTCTATTTAAAACAAATCCGGCCGATGGTTCGGATTCGACATAGCCATTGAGACTTAATCTATAATAAAGTTTTTATGATTCTTTTATCTTCTTAAGAGTGATTCTCTGAGAAAATCAGTCACTATCAGACATCGACGATGGAGCGACATTCCAGAATTCGCTGATTCTTTGATATGTTATAGAGGATATCGAGTTATGTATATCTTAAAATTTTCAGCTCTATCCGACAAGTTTTGATATCGAAATGACTTAAAAAATGGACTGGATTTTTTTACTATTTTTTCTCATTTTCAGCTGTTTTTGACAGAATGTCGAGTCACCGCTTTCGATGCGCCAACAATGGATCGATCTAATATTTTTATCTATGAAAGAGCTCATCGAGCTCTATCGACTAGGATATTTTTCCTTTTTGGCCCATGAAAAAAAAATTTTCTGAAAATTACCCAGAAACCTGACCAGAGGATCAACATAATTCAACACTAATCATCGCGCTATATTGACGCTTCTAGGGAATTTCGAGAAAATTTTTTTTTCATGGGCCAAAAAGGAAAAATATCCTAGTCGATAGAGCTCGATGAGCTCTTTCATAGATAAAAATATTAGATCGATCCATTGTTGGCGCATCGAAAGCGGTGACTCGACATTCTGTCAAAAACAGCTGAAAATGAGAAAAAATAGTAAAAAATCCAGTCCATTTTTTAAGTCATTTCGATATCAAAACTTGTCGGATAGAGCTGAAAATTTCAAGATATACATAACTCGATGTCCTCTATAACATATAAAAGAATCAGCAAATTCTGGAATGTCGCTCCATCGTCGGTGTCTGAGTCTCTCAGAGAATCACTCTTAAGTAGTTTAACTATTTCTATTTTTAAAGCTAACCTGTTTTCCAAGAAGAACTAAATCCACATTTTCTTTTTTAGCAATCGCAGCAAGTAATTTTGAAATAGCTAATGGTTGTAATGCTTCATAATCTTTCCCAGCAACTTCAACATGTATAGCTCGATCAGCACCTAATGCTAAAGCTGTTCGAAGTGTTTCCTTGAAAAGAAAAAAAAAAATCTGTGTTGTTTCTTTCACACAAGAACATCAAGCATATTCATACTTGACATTGAGTAGGTCCACATGAAACAGCAATAATTTCTTGTGCAATTTTTTTTTCTTTTAATCGAATGGCTTCTTCAACAGCTATTTCATCAAATGGATTCATTGAATGTTTAACACCTTCTGTAACAACTCCTGTTTTATCCGATTTAACTTGGATTTTAACAGCATAATCAATAGCACGTTTAACACCTACTAAAATACGTATTGCCATCTGAAAAACAGAACATAACAATTTTATTTTCTTTCAATAGGAATGAACAACTTTTCCTATAGATTTTGTTTTTTTTTTTGTATCTAGATTCAACAAAACAAAAAAAAGAAAAACAAAATTATTCTGAATCATCATCGTCATCATCATCATTATCGGATGGTTGAGCCGGTGTTTGAAATATTTCATCGGTTTTATCATATGGAAAACTCTCTTCTGGTTTCTTTTGTTCATAAGATAATTTTTGATAGATACGTTGTTTATATTTTTGTGACGCTTGTTCTTTAGCTATATGACGTTTTAAATTTGGTGCTACATATAACGGATTTTCATAGATCAGCATACCAGAAAAACTTTTTTCAAAAATACAATGTAAATTGAGAACAAATCTAAAACAAAAAGTGTTGTTTTTCTTTTCTCTCAATTGAATTTTCTCTTATGAAATTAAACTATTTACCTTGGACCAATTTCAGCTAATGAACCATTTTCTTCAACAATTTGATAATTTCTTAACCAAATTTTATTATCAATTAATGTAAATGTTAATACATGATCAATAAATGGTTGTGATTTTGGATGTGATTTTGGTGTACCAAATATTTGTGTTAATAATTCTTTAATTAATTTCCAATGTGGTTCATCATCAAATTTAGTATCAAATGATAATAATGGTCTTGAACCACGTAAACAATTACCAGTTAATTTTAATTCTTCCATTGTATGTAAATTTTCAACAAGAAATTTAACTGTAGGTCCATCAGGTACAGATGCCATCCATAAATAAAGATCACGTTTTTTTTTCATATCAAAAAATAATATTTTATTACAATTACGTAATTCAGCTATTTCATTAAGAACAGAAAAATTTTTACGTAATTCAGCTTTTGGTTCACTTTTTGAATGTGCCATTATTGAACGTAAATTTTTCATAACATATCGTCCTAAATATGATATACCACGTGATGAAAATATTAGAACACGTTGTTTATTAATCCATGATGTTTTCATTGATTGAATTTTATCCGATTCACGTGTTGATGGTAAACGTTGAACTAATGATGATGTTGATGCTGGTGCTGGACCTAATCGATGAAGATTAAGAGATTCATCATTATTGTCTTTATCAATTTGTTCTTGTCGACGAGATTTTTTAAGTTTTTTTTCTAATCGATTTGGTGATACAGATGTTGTTGATTTACGTTTTTTTGTTTTAGTCATAATAATTGATGGCAGAAAATCAAATAAGAATCTAAAGGAATTATTAAATAGATAAACTTGAGGAATATGTCTACTTTTCCTATAAAACAAATAAATAAATAACAACGTATCAATTGTTATATATTATCTGTAGGTCTTTGAACATTCCAATCAGATCTTATTGATTCGACTACATTAAAAAAGTTGAAAGGGATAGAGGTCGCTTGAAGACTGCCATTGACAAAGGGTTGATTTGATAGCAAAGCCGATTCAATGAGTCATACTCGAAAAAACAAAAGCCAATGATGACTTGATCACTACATGATCATCATCAAGAGTGTTTGAGAAAATTGTAGAATGTGTAAGTATTAAAATGTGAATACTTAATAAAAAGTATCTAACATTTTCGGATCTACCATCAGACTCAGCCTATCCTACGGATCTTTGAGTGCTCATTTTCGAAAGATATTTGTTTTTACTCCAAAAATCTTGCCAGGAAGAAGCTGAACCTCCCTAGCCCCAAATCCTGGTTCCACCGCTAGTTTTTTTGTGGAATTAGAAGTACGATTTGAGTTCGGCTGCGCAAATTTAGGGACTTGATAGAAAATACTGGCATTACTTATTTTCATGGAATGTAAATGATGATTGGAATGAATGGTAATCATACTTGAAATCAAACCGGCCAATTTGCTGACTCTCTCATTAACTTTTAGGGTATTAAAGCTAGCCTTTTTCCTTGAGACATGTTTCACAAATACTTAGACCATCATTAATTCAAAAAAGATTTGAAAGTTCTAAAATAACTTCAATCGTCGAATTTGTTTCGGTTATTAGGAAAATCAAAGGAGAAATATGAATCTTTTATGGATTTTATCTACATATTTTGTCTCATTTTCTCTTATTTACATTAATACATCATGAGGGAGTATCCCACACTGGAACCATACATAGTCGTAGTCATAAAAGCATTCTCTATTAGAGCTTGATGAGCCTAAAAACACCAAGAAAAGTGTTTGGAATGGAATCCTTGAAGAACCGAGATCTCTCACAACCAGTTTTTCAGGTAGAGCAACATGAGATATCTTGTCTATCGTCATGATCTTTCTTTTTTTCTTCATTGAACTGAATTCATTTTATGGAAGATCCCAAACCGCCAATCACAAGGAAATCATTGAAGTTCTTCGTAAAATAAAAGCAAAATAATTCTTGAGTCTTCTGTAAATTGAATGTAGTTCGATGAAGGAACAACATGAAAAGAGCTGAGACACCCCCATTTTGTTCTATCAAACAAAACCGTTGCTAAAAAGTTTCAAAGAGATGTCGTAAAACTGTTTTTGGAAGCTGTTAGTTATTCAGATATCCTCGTCTACAGAGATTAATTGAAGATTTAAGGCGCACAAATATTTATAGAGAATCCTTTTAACTACACACATATTATTTTCCGGTTCTTCGCAGCTATTATTATCGAGAAGAAAACTAAAAAAGCACAATTGCTTTAAACTGTCGTCTGTTACTATACGTTCCTCCATATTGGTCTTTTTTACATTTATCCGTAACTACTTGTAGTGAATATTCAATTGTCGGTTTAATCTTTCTACCCACATGTCCTAAGTGCACATGTGAGTATCAATCTATCAAAAAGATCTATCAACCTACCTCCGCCACAGCCTCGTCTATGCCAACACTTATATCCATATCCTTCAATTTTTGAATTTCATCTTGAAGAATATGCAGATGGTAATTCTACTGGTATGAAATTCGATATCAACTGGAAAGAATATGTGAAGAAAAAAACATTATTAAGTAGTCATTTTTTTCACATTATGTTTTTGTGTACTATTGCTCATATTTCTTTCAATGAAAATAATGTCAGATAATCATTCAATAGACAACATATATTATTAAAATGTCTTTAGAAATCAGTTAGAAACGAATTAAAAAAGTTCCTTGTGGTATTCGAAATTTTTATCAATTAAGATAGATTGTAGTGAGAGATAATTCCATCGCGAAAAATAGAATATTTAGGAAATCATCTGCATTTTTATGTACGAGGGCCGTTCAAAAAGTATCCGGACTGATTTTAATTAAAAACAATAAGAAGCGCTGCTGTATTTGTATTATTGTCTGTGCGTAGTTCATAGAGTCCTCTATCCATAGACATGATAAGCCCTGTTGGATTAAACGTATATATGAAAATATAGAAATACATGTTAGACCACCGTTTATATACTGACTAAAATTAAAAACTTGAGCAAAGTTTTATGTTTTGAAAGGCTAGTTTCCATCCAATATTTATGAATATATAGTGACAGTTTACAGTGGTAATGCTCTATTACATACTACGATATTTGAATGGGCTCGTCGTTTTAAAGGCGAATAACTAACTATTAATGGTAGTTTTAGATATGGTCGATACATCATTAGCATTATATCTGAGAATGTGCTATTTCCTTGAACTGACTTTAGTCATATATAATTGATCAAGTAAAATGCTATATACTGTACATTTGAAATGTGAACAGCGTCTGTTATTTACTCAGTTGCGATTCGATTATCTCAGATCATCAGGCTTCTAGAAGTTTTAATAGTTATGTTATTCAAATCTAGATTATTATCAATATATGGTAGTCCATCTTTGAAACAACGATCCTATTCAGAAGCTGTAGTGATCGATAAAGAATTGATCGTTATAAACTATCACTGTACGTCCATATATATTATCACTGTACCTTCATAAATATTAAACGAATCATAGTCTTATAAAACAAGAAAATTCATCACTGAGGGATGCTCAAAATTTTTGATTTTTCTGTCAGTGTATAAACAATGGTCTCAAATGTATTTCTATATTTTCATATATACGTTTAATTCAACAGAGTTTATCATGTCTATGGATAGAGGACTCTATGAACTACGCACAGACAATAATACAAATGCAGCAGCGCTTCTTATTGTTTTTAAATAAAATCAGTCCGGATACTTTTTGAACGCGCTACGTATACAGTTTGTTAGTTTATACTATATTTTTCAAATTACTAACATAAAAGAGATGCGAATACAATAAATAAAATCTATATAAGACTCAAGTTGTTCTTAGATGGCAGCACTATACAATTCATCCGCTATAAACAATAGAAAGTAAATTGCAATTACCTTGAAATCAACAATTTCTTCAATCAGATAAATAACTATTATCTAAATAAAATTAAATAGAAAAAATTAATAATTTAGAAAATTATTTAACCAATCTCATATTGTAATACTAACGAACGAATAAATATATATTGATGCTGATTGCGCCTATATCAATCACATCACAAGGCATTCAATGATTAATTGTTTTTTTTCGTATTATATAAGCGTTATTTTATTTTTTTACTGTTAGAGTATATGTAAATAAAACGAAACACAGTACAATATGCATAAGAATGAAAAAAATTTAATAACTATCCGTTGTTTTTTTTTATAGGTTCATTGCATTTTGCGTCGATTAAGAACAAAACTGGCACTTTTACTTCGATGACGAACTGGAGTAAGAGTAGTACTCGGATAGTGAAATATCTTATGTTTTTCATCTTTATCTTCATCTTTATCATGCACATCTATGACGATGCTATGTTTTCGTCCGATTGATGGTAATGATCTATTAAATGAGCTTTGACGAATATTTTTCAATTGAGATTGCTTATTATCCATTAAATTTGTAAATGATTTAACTTGTTCATTGTTAGTTTTTATTTTCTTGAAGTCTAGTGATAGTTTACGTGTTATGTTTTTTAATTCCGTAGGACTCTCTATAATAGGTGAAAAAGCAGGTAAAAAATGTAATGATGGTGATCGTTCATTTTTTCCTAACGATGAAGTACGTCGAATTGTTATGAAATTAATTGGAGTAGAAAAACTTGTTTTAATAGGTGCAACATGTTGAGTTGAAATAGGTTTTTGAGAATTTTGATCGATTATCTACAATTAAATAATTTAATTAATTGTTTTCTTTTTTCTTTGAAGTATGAACATTCAACAAACCTCATTATTCTTAACATTTGGTCCTTGATAAGAAAGAAATTGTCGTTCTAATTTACGTAATGTTATTGATGGCTGTCGTGAAAAAATATAGCTAAGCATTGGTCGAATATTATCAGTTGATTTTGTTTGATCAGAATCATGATTATTATAAGTATGTTCTGCTCGTTCAGATGCAGCTCGTTGAAAATCTAAAGTATTACAATCGCCACGTTGTTTTTTTCGATAACAATCTATTTAAATAAGAAAAAAACAAAATAACAGAAGAAATAATTTCCCATGAAATTGTTTTCTTATTAAACGAACTTGTACAATAAATATCATTTCCTTCTTCATTAAGTGACGATTCAGTTAGACTTCGTTTACAAATTCGACAACGAAAACATCGATTATGATAAACCTAAATGAAATTATATAAAAATTTTTTACTTTTTCAATTAACGTACATGATTAGTTGTCTTCTTCTTTTCGACAGCATAAACAAGTGATCCACATGCATAACATTTTGAATTCGTAGAGACTATTCCTTCAATTAAAGTTTCCATGCCAGTTTCTAGATTATAATAAAGAAAAATAATATTAATGTAAGCAAGAATTATATAAGACATAGAACGAAATGTATTTTATAAATATATTAAACATTATTATATATTGAACATGAAGGAAGTGGCTAGAATTTGTGTATTTAGTATAAAAAAAAAAGATGAATGAAGAGAACCTTTTACATTTTCATTGAATGATGAAGACTGAATAAATTGAGATGTATATATATATATATATAAGAAAGACTGAGAGAAAACATAAAAGAGTACAAATCGAATTCAATATACATTGACCCTTTAGATGCCTATCAATTTTCCATGAGTAACAGATTTCTTTTCTTTTAAATAGCATTATACTCAACTTTTCGGCCATCGATTGTTCATTAACATATCAGTTTCATTCATTGTTGTTGAACTAGCCATAGACAGACTTGTCTTATACATGTATCAGTAGAAACGGAAAAAAAAAGGGAAAATAGAGTGTTTTTTAATGACGAAGTATACGTTATTTTTTATATATGTCTCACTACCTATTTCACCTTTGCGTATTACTTATTATTACCACGCAAAAAAAAATATTGTCATATTTTTGTATTGTAAAAAATTCGAAAAAAAAAAAGAGTAATATACCTATATAAATATCGCTAACAGATACTAAGTGTAGATCCTATCATTTTCTATATGAATGACTATGTGCATGTATGTTAATTTTGTTTTTCTTTTGATTGACTCTTATCATACACGTTGATCGATTTTGGAATAAGAGACAAAATATATTTGATGATGTATTGTATGATAGCAACAAAAAATAAATATCATTAAACCTGATGGAAAAATGTTATTCATAGACCCTATTATTCATTGACTATCACATAAAAATACTCTTTGAGTAAAATTATGATTACACGCCTGTTTTAATGACATTAATATTTGACCTTCGAATTAAAAGTTATTATAGTACGATTAATATTCAAAGGAAGCAATTAGAAAAAAAAAATATTTGTTTGTCTTTTGTCTGTGTTAACTATTTTTATACGCAATTTTTCATCAAATATTAAAAAATAAATTTTCATTTATTTTATTGATTTAATTTTAGATTTTATTGTTAATAAAATATAATACATTATGTTTTTTCGTTTTTGTATTTTTGTTTGTTTGGCATTGATAATTGTTAATGGTCGTACACTTAAACGAAAACAATCATTACTATCATTAGATCTTGTAAATGAAATTAATTCAGCACAAACAACATGGAAAGCAAAACCATCAAAATTTATGTCATGGTCAAAAGAATCAATTGAACGTTTAATGGGTGTTCGTCCAGAATATTCTGAACATCATAAAGAACTTGAAATACTTGAACATGATGTACCAAATGATTTACCAGAAAATTTTGATGCACGTGAACAATGGCCAAATTGTCCAACACTTAAAGAAGTACGCGATCAAGGAAGGTCTGTTATATAAACAAATTTAAAAAAAAAAAAAGAAGACAGAAAAAATTATTTTTATCGTTCGTTTTTAGTTGTGGCAGTTGCTGGGCTTTTGGTGCTGTTGAAGCTATGTCTGATCGCATTTGTATTGCTTCAAATGGTGCTCAAAATGCACATATTTCAGCTGAAGATCTTGTTTGTATGTTATCGAAACTGTTTTATCTTGATAAAATTATTTCACTTATATATTTTTTTTTTCTTAATTTAGCATGCTGTAAAACATGTGGTTTTGGTTGTAATGGTGGTTTTCCAGAAGGTGCTTGGTCATATTTTAAAAAAACAGGTTTAGTAACTGGTGGTAATTATAATTCAAATGAAGGCTGTCGACCATATACGATTGAAGCATGTGATCATCAGTGAGTTTGGTTTTTGTTTTCTTATTACTTATAATGTTTTATTTGACTTCTTGTGTTTCTAGTGTTAATAAAACTTTACCACCTGTGAGTCATGAAGATTTTTTTTTGTTTGATAAAATTGTTGTTGTTTGATATTCAATAGTGTCAAGGTGAAGGTAAAACACCTAAATGTTCTAAACAATGTATTGATGGTTATTCGATTCCATACAATCAAGATAAACATTATGGTAATAGTGTTTATTCAATTCGATCAGATGAAATACAAATTCAAACTGAAATCTATAAGAATGGACCTGTAGAAGGTGCTTTCAGTGTCTATGCAGATTTTCTTTTATACAGTTCAGGTGTTTATCAACACACATCAGGATCAAGTCTTGGTGGCCATGGTTTGTAGTTTTTTTCTTTTATAGAACTTTTTCTTCAATGCTGAATGTGTTTTTCTTTCTTTAGCCATCAAAATTCTTGGTTGGGGTGTAGAAAATTCAGTACCATACTGGCTCGTTGCTAATTGTAAGCGAATTTCATTTTTCTCAAAATTATAATTATGATGATTGATATTTGTTTTTTTTTAAAGCATGGAATCAAGATTGGGGTGATAATGGTTTCTTCAAAATCCTTCGTGGCAAAGATGAATGTGGTATTGAAAGTGGTATTGTTGCTGGTGCACCAAAACTCAATTAAATAAACAAGCGATCTGAACTTTTTTTCTTTTCTTTCTTTTTTTTTTCTCTTATTGAAAAACTCTCGAGACGATTTGATCCACTAGATAATCCATAATTATTGTTTGAATATCAAAAAAGACATCATTATTATTTCGTTATTTATATACAAATCTATTTTATCTTCTAAAGATCTTGTGTATTTTTTTTTTCTTTTCTTAATGTTATTTTCATTGTCTTATTCTAGCTTAAACACGAGTTATTGTTGTGAAAGTTTGGTTTGTAAAAAAAAATTTCCATAGCAAGACAGCAGAAGCAAGAGAAATTCAAAGATTGTGCGATTTTATCGTTCATTTTTTGAATGTATGAAGAGAAATCAGATCAATTAACTGTATACAGTAGAGAATTCGATAACATTCTACTACATATGATTAAAAGCCTTGGTGAGACTAGAAAAATCTTAAAAGAGCTATGTTCATCGGTATTTCGATCTGAAATTTCATCCATAAAGAAATTGAACGATTAATAGAATATCTTTAAAGTTTCAGCCGACAAGAATATTCTTTTGTCTTTTCGAAGAGGGCTCAGATGTATGTGGACGCTTATTAAAATTTTTTTCTCGTTCTGTAAGCATCTTTGCAAATTTTTTTCAAAATAAATTGGTATTAATCAGCATTTTCAAAAGGGCAACTTCTCGGAATTGTATCAAGCATTATCTACGAATAAATCACGTAAATCAGTCGCTTAATACAAAAAAGATAGTGTATTTCAGTGAATAGACTCTGTTGAAAAACAATTTTGAAAATTAGAAGCTCATGAGGAGAGAGGAGCCAGCAAACACTTCTGGATAGAGAGGATGATAAAGATACGGTTTTTATGTGAATTCCCTTGATGGATGACTCTTTAGTATTTTTATGTACCTACTTTATATATACTTATATATAAAGTTGTATTTTTTTGAAAAAGAAAAAAACCAAATTATTTCAACATAGAATTATTAAATAATTTATTTAAATAATCAAATTATTTGTTGAAAAGATTTCTATTGTTTTTGAATAGAAAACGATCATATCAAATAATTGATTATCATTTATGTGCAAAAAACAAAACAAGAAAAAAACTTATTTATTTTTATAAGCCACACAACAGAAGATTTCTTATTTTTTGTTTTCATTTTGCATATCAAAATCGAATAATTATATGCGTTCGATACAAACAGAACAAAAAAAGAAAACATAAACCACAAAACAAAGGTTTTAATTAATGAGATTACAGGTATAAGTGAGACAAAAATATAGAAAAGAAAGACATATAGAAAAATATAATTATGGCTGTTATGATAAATTAAGTTGATGATATTGATATTGGCTCAATTATTTTCGTTGTTACTGAATGTTCTTTTGATAATGATGGTGATAAAATTTTATTATCTGATACTAAATGATTTTTATCATTGGTTGTTACAGATAATGGTGTTAAATATTTCCAATGATTATAAGGAGATTCAATAGTTGAACCAATACCACTTGATGAATGTGATGATGAACCTGTACTTGGTGGTGCTGAATGTTTAAAATTTTCATTATTATCATTTATTTGTTGATGAGGAATTGAATTAATTAATGGACGTGTTGAATCATTTGATGAATGTGTACAATAATGTCCACTACTACCAGCACCACCGGCTGATGATGATGAAAAACTTCGATCACATAAATCATTTTGTGGATCATCTATAGAAAAAGAAAAAATTTCTTTTTTATTAAGTAAAAAAGAATACATACTTTCATTAACAATTGGTGTTGTTATAAGTTTAGATTTTTGATGTCGTTGACATGTTGAATGATGATGATGTAAATGATGAAATTGTATTCCATTTGTTTGTGATGATAAAACAATACCATTGATTTTTTTATTTGTTAAAGTATCTTTATTATTTAAAGAAGTTTTTAAAGGAAATGTATCCGATGGATAATTTATTATATGATGATGAATAGGACATGTTGAAACATTTGAACGTTCACTTGTATAACCAAATAAAGCTAAAAAAAATAAAAATTTTTGAATATTCTAATTATAATTGCTGAGTAATAAAGAAAATATTCCCTAAGATTTGTTACTAGAGATGTGCGAAACTGAACCTCATACTGCGAGAAACAATTTTTCTCAACCGAAATTAAAGATTATAACTAAATATTCTATGATCTTAAGTGAAATATCTTGTAAATCATATCAATCACATATAATTTATGATACGAAAGAATTCGAATAATTTTTTTAAACCAGGACCGATGGAAAAAAAAGATTATCGAAACTAAAAAACTATGGTTCAGAACATTTCTATTCGTCACTATATTCATCCTAACATGATTTTGGAGAAAAAAACAAACTTTTCTTTCATTTTCATAACTTACTTGGTTGATTCAGTGTACATGCATGTTCTTCATATGGACTATGTGTTGTAAATGGTGTTAATGTATGATAAAAATTTTCTTGTGTATCAGTTGTATTTTCATTGTCTAAACGATTCATAGGATTGGTATTTAAACGCATAGTACCATTATCAGTTGTTGTTATTCCTGTTGAACTATGTGGTAAAGGATTTTGTCCATTCCACAGAATAGTTTGTTTTGGATTTGTTGGATAAGTAAATGGTATTAATTTTCCATCAACAGATACAACACCATGTTGTAAACAAGGTGTTGTTGCATAATCAGGATTTAAATTTTTATGTAATCCATCACAATAATATTCGGAACCATTTACAGATTTAACATGAGCTAAAAAAAAATAAATAAATCTTTTTAATTCAATTCAAAAGATTTTCTTCTCTATGGTATTGATTATTTGAAACAATCAATATTTTCGATATGACAGCAAAATAACATAAATACAAACTTTGAATTCCTTAATTT